CCCGTAAAAATCCCAGTGCTCCTGTGCCCATGTTTTCTTCTTGATCTTCAGAGGAAGAAATTGGGCAGAACAAGGAAAAGTGTTTTAGCTATTTTGAATCAAAATAGTAGCACAGGCCTCTAGAGCCATTGCTCAGAAAGTGGCTACTACAAAAGAAAAAAGACAATTGCAGCCTTAAAATTCACAAGAGAATTGAGGACTACAAACTGGGAGAACTGCATACTGTTCTGTTGTGAACATCATTTAAGAAAGGGCAGTGAGGGAACAGATTCTCCTTGCTTTGGCTCTTGTAGTCTATGTTTTATTAAAGTAGGTATAAGGACACTAACACTCAGAGAATAAATGTACATGGTATTGTGGCAGTTATTACCAAGTGTTTCGGTTAATCTTTAAGTCAGCGCTCATATAGAGAATTACTAGTATTTATGGCACTTCATTTCTTACATATTGAATAAAATATGCAGTGTGAACCCAGGGTTTTAAAAATCATCTTTCCCTTTACAAAGTCTTAGAATTTTCTTTTATTAATGATGAAAGCAATCTTGATATCATTTGAGGAGCTACATTTATTAGGTCTGATTTATAGTCTTCCCTTTTATTTCAGATGTAGATTATAGGCCAAGTTAGAGAGCTAGTTACTAAAGTGGGGAAGTTGTCACAAGAAATAACAGAAAACTACCTTTAAGAACATCTATCATTCATGTGCAGGTAATTCCTGTTTTAATTTTATTTTAATTAAATTGTATCTATTTGCATTTTTTAATTATAAGATTATTCAGTCGAATTTTATCATCAAATGTGATCAAATTTAAATAATATATTTCTTTCCTTTTTTGTGGGAAGAGTTGTTGAAACAGGGTCTTGCTGTGTAGCACTGGCTGGCCTGGATCTTGCTATGTTTACCAGACTAGTCTGTAATTCACAGAAATCCATTTGTTTCTGCCTCTTGAACATTGTGATGAAAATCATGCACCACCACATTTGGCCTTAAGTAATATATTACCAGTATTTGATTTAATATGAATTTTAATATGTTTAGTATGAAACAGAATTTGAGTCTCCAAAAATGTATAAAAATTGCCAGGCGTGGTGGCGCATGCCTTTAATCCCAGCACTCCGGAGGCAGAGGCAGGCAGATCTCTGTAAATTCAAGGCCAGCCTGGTCTACATAGTGAGTTCCAGGACAGCTGGGGCTACAGGGAGATCCTGTCTCAAAAAGACCAAAAAAAAAAAAAAATAAAGAAAAAAAAAAAAAAGAAAACTCGTTTTATTTATTTTCAAAAATGCAACAGTAGAAAAAAAAAAAAAAAACTTTACAAACTACCATTTTTTAAATAATTGTCTATATCCATAGGAATCATGAAAAGTTTGGAGTAAAGCTTCAGGCTAATGCCACCAGTAGAAATGTATATTTTTAGCATTAATATAGACAGTAGTTAAAATAAAGAAAACATACTTTTATATTTTTCACTCCTTATATCCAGTGAGAAATATTGGTCAACAAAAATATCAAATGTTAAAATTAACTAAAAAATTTTTATTTTATTTATTTTATTTGTGTTCATATTGTGTGTGCAATTTGTTAGGGTTCAAAATTGTGTGCAATTGCATGTGAATGTATTTGTGTGTGTGTGAGTGTGTAGCCTGCATATGGAGGACAGAGGTGGTCAGCCTGAGAAGGTTGGTTCTCTTCTTCCACCATGTGGTACCCAGGTACTGAACTAAAGGCTTCAATCTTTGTAGCAAGTGCATTTATTCACTGAGTGATCTGGATGATCATAAAACTGACTTTCAAACTCGCTTTAAATAATATAAAAAGCTAATATTTTTATTCAAAATAGAAGAATTTCACAGCTTCACATCATAGTAATGCTGTTATATCAATTGTATATTGTCAAATAAACAGTTTATATCCAAACATGTTCAGCTTCTTCTTTAAAAATGTTATTACTTTGTATTTAATTATATCCAAATATTTTAATGGAATTTTACATTTGTTTTAGGATAGTCAACATCATCATCCACTTCTTGAAAGAACAGGGGGATAAGAACAGGTGAATATTATATATCTCTTACATATCTCTTACTTTCTCCAAGCATTTACATATGTCAATTTTATGTGCACCTTACTGTTTTCATGAATAAAGTATTTACTTTGGTAGTTTAATCAATTATTCAATTCAAATTTAACGATCTTCAGGACCTTGTACCACAGTTTTAGTGAATAGAGAAGTTAAAAATGATCTTACACATTTATAAATAAATTATGAATTGTAACATAAATTTAAATGTACATATAAATATTGATGGGGATAAGCTGGGCATACTGTTTAAATCCACTGATTGCTAGTTACTGTCTTGTTTTTATCTGAAAATGTTTTCCTTTAGTGGTAACTTTAAAAAAGAACTTAATATCAAAGATTGAAAAGAGCTCTACCCACATTTCAATTGACACGATTCCTCTGATGGCAAATGGCAATCTGTGCATGGTGGATGTGTGAACAAAACCCTGTTCCTCATCAGAAATTTGTAGATAAACAATATTCACTATTCACTGTTAGAAAATTAGCCTTTTTCTTTACAATATTGTTCATTTTTTTCTTCTTTGACATTTATGATACCTTCTTGTATTTTTAAAGATAATCTTCACTTTTGTTTTTAATGACTGCACAGTGTCAAAGCTAATGTCATTAGATTCCCTGATCCTCCTGCATGAAAGCATTCACATTTTTATGCTACCAGAGCCTCAAGGAGTGTTAGTAACTGATTTCCCATGTTCACGGGTAAGATTATTAACAACTGTGCTGGTGTTGTACAAAGTGCAATTTTGTGTAACATGTTCAATACCAAGAGCAGGCAGACCAAGTGTTTATTCTTGCAATGACAGCGACATATTTGATTGTAAACTCAGAGTCCCACATTTTGTGAAATGGAATTATAGTAGTTTCACTAATTGTGGAAATGAAATTTAGAGATCTAATTATAAAGTATACATTATATTACCTCCCTGACCTGGAAATTCACTATTTTTCTAACTTATTATTTTAATACAGAAAAAATATCAATGGGTTGGGAGGATATATTTATTTGTAAGTAATGCTATATGCAAGACAGGGCATCTTGATTACTTTTCAAAATCACCTCATTTTTCATGTATTTATACAGAGGAATGAAGTATATTATTTTCACAAATGAAGCATACTTTTAAAATATGAATTTGAAATTTAAGTGAATAATAAATTTAGTAAGGTTTTTGGAAGCTCTATTATTTATACAAAAAAAACTGTAGGATGAAACCCGCTGTCTTGATGATTGAAAGGGAAATAAAGGAGAGTTAGGGAGCTATTTTCAGAAGAAGATCAGGTTCAGACTTTGTTAATACAGTCAAAAAATACTCAACTAAAACTGAAAGTTTGCATCAATGTACTTACATCGTGTGTGTTAAAGTTCTATTTATTTAAGGCCTCAAATAGTTTCAAATATTACTGTTAATGCCATTATATAATTTAGAAAATGTGAATTTCTATGCTCTAAGCATATTTTTCACTAAAAATCACTGTATAAATTGCAATTATTGGGCCAAATATAATTTAAGACTAACATAGAATTTCCTTCTGGATACTATTTACTTTGCAAAGAGAGCAGAGGTGAGCAGGGCAGGGAGTGTGCCCTTCTACTGCCTTAGTGTGAGTTAGACCTTCATCACAAAGAACAACATAGGCAATTCCAGTATTAAATTACAGAAGGGATAATCACAAAGGGCTTCTTAAATATTCAGCTTACAATTAGGTGGTACGTTTCCTTTTTCTTCAATTTTAATATTTATGTTTTATTACAGTCCTACACATATTGTGCAGAATTAAGATTTTCCATTAATCTCAATATTTTCCTAATCCATTTCTACCACCATTATTAGTGATTGCAGAGTTTACATATATATACTTTTCTACTAAATTTTTAATAAAAACATGTCACATTTTTCAAAAAATCAATAATTAAAAAATAATTTTGCTGTCTTTCCATATGACCCATTAACATGTCATATCCCCAACATGATAGGGCAATAGATGATTGTCACCTCCCCATATCTCTAACACCATTTTTCATAGAAAGATGTTGATCAATCCTACAATTCACAAGTTAATCAAAAGTTAAAAATACATTCCTCAGGAAAAAATTCAGGAAACTATTCTGTATGTTAGAGAAAGAAGTTCTTAAAAGAAATTTCTTAATTTACAAATGGAAAATTCTTAATAGAATAAATCTCTATTTACAATAAAGTACACAATTGAAAAATTCCAAATGAGATATATTCCCTATATTGTTAAAAAATTTAATATGTAAGCCAGGGGTGGTGGCACACGCCTGTAGTCCCAGCACTTGGGAGGCAGAGGCATGTGGATCTCTGTGAGTTCAAGGCCAGCCTGGTCTACATAGTGAGTTCCAGGACAGCTGGGGCTACAGGGAGACCCTGTTTCAAATAGACAAAAAATATTTAATATGTAGCAATAATACACTTAATTTTTATTGGTAAAATAGTAATTTTAGTTTATGTTTTTCAAACATAACAAAGCATTCTACTGATATTACCAATATGGCAGTACATTAGGGAAAGTTCTGAATATTTAAATACCTATTTATTTAAAGCATGAAATAATTTTCTCATCTCCTTCCAGTAAAACTTCATTAGCTTAGTGGCTCTAAGACTACACAATTGGAGATAAATGGCACATATCAGATTATCTTGATATATTGACATCAGAAAAAAATTCACTTTTGTGTCCTGAACAAATTAGGGAAAATTGATAAATAACTATTAGAAAAATGAAATACCATCTCATAAAGCCAAAATTTTTTAATTGATTAATGGATCAGCAACTGTAAATTCTTACAGGAGTATTTTTATTTATTGGTAATGCTTACACAGTTATGATCTAATTGTAACTTATACCCTGAATCACTTTTTCAGAGATATTCAATTATTGCACAGACCACAGTAAATGGAGTGTCAAAGGAATATATCAGAATTCATTCTCATGGGTCTTTCTTCAGATAAGAATATACAAGCTTTTTGCTTCGTGTTCTTCCTATTCTGCTACCTTGCCATCTTGTCTGGAAATCTCCTGATCCTTATCTCCATTAGATACAGCTCTCTGTTTAACCAACCAATGTACTATTTCCTCAGTCACTTGTCCTCCATGGACATCTGTTACACCTCTTGTGTGACCCCCAAACTGATTGGAGACCTGCAAGTGGGAAGGAAAACCATCTCCTATGCTAACTGCATGTTACAGGTCTTTGCTATGCACTTCTTTGGAATGATTGAAATCTTAATCCTGACAGCCATGGCCTTTGATCGCTATGTTGCCATCTGCAAGCCTCTCCATTATATGGTTATCATGAACAGAACCACATGCATTATCCTCATCTTGGCCTCTTGGGCAGGTGGGGATGTACATTCCTTTTCTCAGTTTTTTATGTTAATCTGTTTGCCCTTCTGTGGCCCTAATGAAATTGATCATTACTACTGTGAAATTTTTCCTTTGCTGCAAGTTGCCTGCACTGACACCTACCTTACTGGTGTCCTTGTGGTTGCCAGTTCAGGAATGGTTGCTTTGGTAATCTTTGTTCTCCTGTTTGGTTCATATGTTATTATACTCTTCACATTAAAGAATCACTCACCAGAGGGGAGACGCAAAGCTCTTTCTACATGTGGCTCTCATATCACTGTGGTCATCCTATTCTTTGGATCTTCAATCTTTGCCTACCTTAGACCTCCTACCACATTCCCTGAGGACAAAATCTTTGCTCTCTTTTACACGATCATTGCTCCCATGTTCAACCCCCTCATCTATACTCTGAGAAATACAGATATGAAGAAGGCCATGAAAAAGGTTTGGTGTCAAAATATATTTTCAGAAGAGAAATATAATTAAGTTGAACTGCATGCAGTGTATTTAACAGCATTGTACAACAATGAAAATAGACTTACCATCAGTTAGATTTTGAATTATTCAATGTCATTTGCTTATTCAGAATTGGCAAAATGGGGAAGTGAATAATTGTTATTAAAATGTGGATTTCCATGTATTGTTAAATAAGAAAATGTTGATTAAAATTGTTTGGTGCTAATGGAATGTTTGCTATGCTGTGAAGAGGAATTACATACTAGGTTGAAGAATTTTGTTGCTATTTAATTTGATTTTAAACATGGTAATGAAAATAGAGTAGTTTGAAATTGGATTCAGAAAATATATTTTATTGATGAACTTTACACTCTGGTTGAATTTGTTAATAAGTCTTCTATGGTGACTTTCTAAGGTAAATTATGTTATGAAAAAATGTCAAAAAGAAGAATGTGTGTGAATGTGAACACAAGGAGTTCACCATGAATGTGTTTGGAGGGAGATGCCAACCCTCCCCATAAATATCACAACCATGTATAAATCTTCAATGGATGATCACAGTTTTACGGTAACTTTATGATGTCTGTCTCTTCAAATATACTCAGGATTTTATTAACAAAGTGGGAGAAAAATTCATCTCTTTCCAATAAATCTTCGTTAGTTTAGTGGCTCTAAGACTGAATGGTTGGAGATGAACAGCAAATATCAGATTATCTTGATATATTGACATTAGAAAAAAAGTCACTTTTGTGTCCTGAACAAATGGCATAGAGGTAAGGAAATTATTTTTCTTTTTTTTTTTTTTTTTCATTTTAACATATAAAGTAAGAGGTTTCATTGTGATGTTTTCATACATTCATATAATTATAACACTATATTTTGTTCATATCTCTCTGTATGCTCCTCTCATTACTACCCCTTGCTAGTCCTTTTCCTTATCTCAGATAATCTTTTTCTGTTTTCATGTCACATATCACATTACCTACTTTGTTAAACATGCCTGTCAACCAATGCCTCTCCTCCATAGTTGACTTTCTACTTACACACACACACACACAAAAATATGCATGCATAATACATGAATCTATATATTTAGTTTAGATCTGCATATAAGAAAAAAACTGATATTTAATGAGGGAAAAAGAGAAAGAGTGAGCCCTGGAAAAGACACATGGAAACTTTCAGAATTATGGGAGGACTCTATTCAACTTCTAATGTGGTTATAAGGCTATTTCCATTGTAATTATTTCTCTTTTGTCTTTCCTGATTCAATTTGTTCAAGATATATAATGTTAATAATTTCAATATAAGAAAAACAAGATAATATTAAAACAGTATTCAAAGTATCAATGCTAACCTACAAGATATGATCAGCCAATAAGTGTTTGAGAAGAATTCTAAGGATTTTAAAAGGTATTTTATTACTTTTACTTCGTGTGTATGAGCATATCGCCTGAATGTATGTAAGTGCATCCATATTTTGCAATGCCTGCAAAGGTCAGAAGAGGGCACACAGGTCGTGGAGGAATGCTGCTTACTGACTTGCTCCCTTGACCTGTGCTCAACCCGGTTTCTTATGCAATACGGGACAACCTGCCCAGGGGTGATACTACCCACAGTGAGCTGGGTCCTCCCACATCCCTCAACAGTCAAGAAAGTGCCCCACAGATAACAATCACAGGCCAGTGCAATGGAGGCAACTCCCCCATTGAGGCTCCCTCTTCCCAAGTGTGTCAACTTGACAACTAAAGCTATCCTGAACAGTACATTGCATAGAATCATCTGAGGCTAAGAGAGCTATTCTTCAGGGAGGAGGCTTCCAGGTGAGATCCAGTTCCATTGCTTCAAGACCTGTGTCCAAAGTACATACTACCTTCAGCAGTAAGGTCTTATTTTCAAGTTCTAAGAGGCAACTAAGGGCTGTCACAACAGCCTATGTTATAATGGGAGTCTCTGGGACTACCCTTACCAACATCTTGAAGGGAGGTTCCTTGTATCTAATACTATGTTTCTTGCACTATAGCCTTCAACTATACACATTTATTCATGTATTGATATTGTATGCTTATGTTTCAGTAGGCTTTTGAACTAATACATTTCCCTCTGGCTTTTCACAGCAGCTAAGCATTATTTATCTCTCATCTCTCTTTCCATGTCCCATCTTTGCTTTGCCTTCCCCAGGTAAAGCGCCATTTGCCCCGTTTTACCCTTGATAACATCTATCTCTTATAATCCCCCCTCTTCTGAACACCTTTTTCTTCCCTTTACCCCCATGATTCTTGTACAATTTTCCTTCCTTTCTCCCCATTTGAATGCCTCCATTTCATACTTGGTAACACCTGTTTTTTATAAGCCCTCTCACTTAGGTTCCCTCTTTCCCTTTCCCTTACTGGTTTATTTCTGTTTTGTCTAGTTTCTGCAGTTACTTCAGCATGTACACTCACATATAAGGATTTGCAATTAAGATCCACAAATGAGAGAATTACAAAGCAAGTGTTCATCAGTTGTTGGTCTGAGTCTGTGTTACTTCACTTAATATAACAGTTAGTGCTTCCATTCATTTACCCCAAAATTTTATGATTTTATCTTTCTCTACCATTGAGTAGAAAAAACCTTCATTTCACAATCCATTTGTCATTCGAGGAAAATTTAGGTTGTTTTAATTTTTAGCTATTGTGAAAAGAGCAGCAACAAATATGGATGCACAAGTATCTCCGTAGTAGGATGAGTCCCTTAGATGTATGACAGAAGTGGTATAACCAAATTATATACCTGAAATGTAGCAATGTTTCAATATACATATGGCACTAAATTTTCTTGCCTTTTCCCTTCTTGGGAGGCTCTGCCCATGCTCCCTTCCAAGGGCCCAAACCTCACAGATTAGCATAAGATATTTTTATTTTGTGATTCAATTCGTTTATGGTGGGGAGTGAGGGGGTAACTCACAAAGAAATTCCAGGGCCATACAGCAGCCATTCCAATCCCTTCCGTGCCCTGCCCACAGTCTCCATTTGCTTTTGCCTGTGCCCTGTGGGCCCGAGGTCTCACCCCAGGTCTGTAAATGCCCCATCTCCCCTCCATGCTTGCAGGACACCCCAGCCATTTGCCCCAGGGCTGCACACACTTCCTTTTTCTGTTTCAATCTCCCGCCAAGCAGTTCTCCTCATCTAACTCTCTGCAGCGGGCTCCGCCCTTCTCAGAGTGCCCTGTGTTCGCCCATAGCTCACGCTTTTCAGAGGAATAAGTGCTTTCTGGCTTACAATACATAAGTCAATAATTGTTATAAATCATATAAATGGACTCAAAGAAAAAAAACCACACATATATTATTGATGCAGAAAAGGCCTTTGACAAAATCTAGCATGTATTCATGATAAAAGTCCTAAAAGGAATTTAACTAGAGGGAACGTACCTCGACATAATTAAAGGTGCATACAACAAACCCACTGTGCACATCATTCTTAGTGGAGAAAAATTGAAAACATTTCCATTAAAATCAGGAACCAGACAAAGCTCTCCACTATCCCCACTCTTTTTCAGTATAATGACTTAAATTCTCATTTAAGGAATAAGATAATGAAAGAAAATTAGAGAACTAATTAGAGAATAATAGGTCAAATTACCCTATTTGCAGATTATATGATGTAATATATAAGTGGTGCCCAAAGTTACACCAGATATCTTTTAGAAATGATCAACAATTTTACAAAATGACAGGTTAGAAATCAACTTCCAAAATCAGTAGCCTTTCTATATACCATAGACAAGCAATTGATGGAGTTCATGGAAACCCTTCCATTCACAATATCCATAAAAAAATGAAATAAAATATCCAGGAATAAACTTAACTGAAGACTTTAAAGTTCTCTACAATGAAATTTTAAATCCGTGAATAAAGAACTTGAGGAAGACACAAGGAAACAGGAAGGCCTCCTGTGCTGCTCATGAATTGGTAGAATTCATATTGTGACAACTACCATCCTACCAAAATAAATTTATAGGATTCAGTGCAGTACCACTCAAATTTCCATGACTTTCTTCACATAGTTAGAAAAAAATTCTAAAATTTCCATGGAATCACACACACACACAAAAAACTAGATAGCCAAAGCAATCCTGAGAAAAGGAGCAGTGCTGACAGGTGGGAGTCGTTACCATACAGGATTACAAACTGTATTACAGAGCCATAGACATAAAAACAGCAAGTTATTGGCACAAAACAGATATTTCAATCAATGGAACAAAGCAAAACACTCAAACATTAATGCACACAATTACATCTATCTAATATTTGACAAAGGTGCCAAGAAATCACATTGGAGGGAAAACGGCATCTTCAAAAATGGTGCTGACGAAACTGGATCTCTACCTGTAGAAGAATGACATTAGACTCTCATGCTGCACAAACATAAACTCCAAATAATGAAAGACCTCTATGTGAAGCCTGAACCTGAACCTATTAGAAGAAAACATAGCAATATCCTATAAGATATAGGTGTAGGAAAGTAGTTTCTAAATTGGACATTAGTTGCTTAAGATTTAATGTCAGCAATCATCAAATGGGTCCTCTTTAAACTAAAATCTTCTGTACATCAAAGAAAACAACCAGTAGAATGAAGAAGAAACCCACAGAGTAGGAAAAAATATTCACCAGCTACACATCTGACCAAGTATCAACATCCATAATATACAAAGAAATGATAAACAAACATTCAGGTAAACAAATTACCTAATAAAATGATGGGCTATGAATCTGAACAGAGAGTTCCCCTAAAAAGAAAGAAAAATGGCCAATAGATACCGTAAAATTGTTCAGCACTGTTAATAATGAGGGGAAAGCAAACCATGTCCACTTTAATATTTCATCTTACTCCTGTCAGGATTGCTAAGATCAAGAGAAAAAAATGACACCAAATGCTGAGGAAGAAGTGGGGAAAGGGGAACAATGCTAGTGGGACTGCAAACTGGCAACCACTACAGAAGGAAGTGTGAACACATAGAAAACAAAAAATAAATTTACAACAGTTTTT